TGCATATTATCCTTTTATTATATAGGATATGAGAAGATAACTGATTTTCAAAATATGACTAGTACAGAGATGCATCCTATCTCATAAAAGTACCTTTACAAAAGTTCAAATGTACATGTGCATGAACGCAAATGCACCCATGCACATGCGTGTCCATGTGCTCACAGAGTGAACTTGAGAGCACCAATTAAGATGGTATCTAACTTAAGTATGTATGTATTGTTCTTTATTACACTTTATTTAAAATATGTTTTTATTGATTTTAGAGAGAGAGGAAGAGAGAGAGAGAAACATTGATGAGAAACATTGATGAGAAACATTGATAATCTGCCTCCTGTACATACCCTACTGGGGATCGCACCTGAAACCTGGGCATGTTACCCTGACCAGGAATCGAACCAGCAACCTCTTGGTGCATGGGAGGATACTCATCCCCTGAGCCATACCTGTCAGGCATACTTTAAAATATTTATCAAAAAATGAATATGAATTAAATGTTTATAACCTTCCTGAAATGCCTTGGAGTTCTCTATAACAGTTTGAAAACCAGAGTGTTAAGCCCATCACTCATTTACACTTGAGTGTGAAAGGAGCCAAATCAGATCCTTTTCTCAACACACAGGTTTTAGAACAAGGGAGGAGGAAGTATGAGCTCTTTAATTTTAATTCCTTTTTCAGAAAGGCAGAAACCTTATTAGGCAACTGTCATGTGCCTGCAGTGTTACTATATTATCTATAACCCCCATAACACCCTTGCCTAGTAGCCACCATCATCCTGACTTTTTAGAACAGGAAACTGAGGACCGGAGATATGAATTTGCTTACCTAGGGGCACACACCTGGAAACTGGCAGATAGGTCCCACGCTCTGATCTATTCGACTCCAAATCCTTCCCGCCACACCAGACTGCCTCCTGTCTGGCCTACCCATTTTACAAATGAGGACAAGAAGAATGAACAAGGTAGGTAACTTGTTCTAGAAACAGCTAGTTAGTGGCAAGGCTGTACCAGAATTCAGGAGCACGGGGTTTCATTAGGTAAGCTCCCTCAGACGGCCCAGTGGGAGGATGCTCTGTGCAACCATGGCTACGGGGGGCCAGAAAATCATCACTTCACTTCTAGGCTGGAAGGCACCTCAGTATATACTCCTTCTCTCTCCCAACCCCTACAATAATGTAAGTTTTAGATGACTGTCTAAAACATGGCACAGTATGACATGTGAAAACTGCCAAGAGTCATAACTAATATTTATGGCACTTACTGGTGCCAGAACCGTTGAATCATCTCATTTAAATCTCAATGCAATCCTATGAGATAGCCTGATTATGAACATTTTACACATGAGGAAAGGGAGGTTGTTTCTGGGAGGCCCCAGTCTAGTAAGAATTCACACCAGGCATTCTGACCCAGAATCACTATTCCCAGAGCTACAAATGTTTGCAGTTCAGCATAGGGTTGGCTTGGGTGTGAATGCAGGATCTTAGCACAGAAATTCAAGATACACAGCATTCTTGAGAAGTCAGAGAAGTCACTACAACCAGATTTCCTGTGAACATTATCTGATAAGGGTATATAGCCTCTAATTGCCTCTCTTCACTTCCAGAGCAATGGGCTTGGGTGAGAAAGCCTGACACCAGCCAATGGCAACTGTCATACCACTGTCTTCAGCTTTCCCAGAACTCCAAACCAATGCAGAACTAAAATTCTAAAATGCAGCACTTGAAAAGGCAATACACCACCACTGCTGGCAGCACCACTACTACCGCCAGCACCACTACTACCGCAGGTGTGGAATACCTTTCAGAGGCTGCAGGCCAAGAGCAGAAGTCATTGTTTCTTCAAGAATCTCTCTAAGCAACCCGGAGGAGAGCTCTCTTTCAGTGATAGAAGTGGCCATCGCAGTCCGAGGAATGACTGTGTCATAAATAGGATATGGCATTTTTGAATGTCTTTAAAGCTATTTCCTTTTGTTCAACTAATTTAATTTACCAAATGCTCCTGGGAAAAGGGAGGGGGACCAAAATGCTGACTCCACATTTCCTGAAAAATCAACATTTTCTTTTTAAACTGCTCTCAACGCGATTACATCTGATCGTTGTCTGCTGGCTCCCTTAAACCCTGCCTCTGTCAAAATTCTGCCCCGGCAGGTGTGAGAAAGAATAGAAGCCGAACTTGAGCGAATACTCACATCTGTTTTTGGAAAAAGGGAACAGAAGCAGCACAGAAGGAAGTGAAAGAGATAATTGCTGGCTTGAACTGCAATACATTTTACTTGTGGGCAGAGGGCCAGCTTACAGCAGGCGGAATATGCAGGCCCATCTTATTGGAATTCAGGGGTGGGCCTCCGTTCTTGTCCGGAGACAGCTGTAAACCAGCAGCCCATAGCATCCCAATCAGGCGGCGAGTTTTGTCAAGGAGTGCTGATATGTACAGAAGCATCTTTGTCTGCTTCCACCGCACCCCTGCCTAGTGAAATGACAGTCCATCTCTGATTCCAGATGACAAGAACTGGATAAAAACTTAAAACAAATGGCGACCTTTCAAAAGATTAATTTGTTTACCAACAAAATGTTCCCTCTATGTCATCTGAGATGGGGGTGACCTTCACTTTCCCATATCTGGGCTGAAAGGATGCTGACTATAGTCATCTGTTAAGTTAACTCCATCTCAGCAATTATTCCCTTTTTTATTCTTAGTGACAAGAAGGGTTTATTAATTCACTCTGCTTCTTGTTATGGTTTATAAATGCAACAAGCTCATTCTGAATTACTGCAGTGTAACATCAATTTGTTTAAATCTAATTCTGCTATCATTGCCAAATTATGTTGTGACTGTAATTGTGGCCATATGCATGGGCTTAAAACACAATCATGTTTTGAAATAGCCCTTCTTTCCCACCCCCCGCCTCCTTGCCCCCGCCCCTTACTTCTGATGCTTCTTCTAATCATTTGACATTAACACAATTGCCTCACTTTCCATTACTTTATCATTTCAGAAATGCATGTGCTTTCAGCGAGAGAGATTACAATGTACACCCCACGTGAAACAGTAAAGAATGAAACTATGATTTGTGAAGTGTGGTTGCTACCCAACTAAGTTAGTGAAAAACACTGCATAACATATGACTCATAAAATCTAGAAATCATAATAGTATTAAATTCAACCTCATGAATAAATAAAAGATTCTAAGTTTACATTGCATTATATATTTATTTATTTGGAAAGTGGGACCAAAGAACTAGTATAATTCTACAGCAACTCACATCTTGCCAAAAAGAAAAATGTTTTTACGATTCTTTTCTAGGTCATAACAGTTATAATCAGAGTTATTTGCGCAGCAATTCAAAGCAGTGTTTTGTTTGGCTATTTTGTTATGCATTCATAATCGTTCTTTTAAAATTCATGTTAACAGATCCATGTTTCAAATCTTTTAAGAAACGCTTTTTATTTTAAAAAGTAAATCTAAGTCAAATTTTCTGTAGGTCTTTTAATGGGTTGCACTGGACTGTAGGGCTGGAACTAAATGTCAGTCAGTACAAACAGTTTCAGAGGTTCCTTCTGGTCTCCCCATGGCTACAAGGCCCTTCTCACAAACCTGCCAGAGGGTTTGCTACCATCATTATTTTTATTACGCACATTTAAGGTATTGGAAAAATCATCAGTAAGTTTCACTTTTAATATTTTGTTGTAAATTGATTGTACTAATAGAGTTCATAGGATATAACATGCTGAAGGCAGTTTTGTGGGGAGAGGGGGGATTGTACACGTGTGTCTGGGGTATATGTGTTTTCAATGCATTAAAATCTTTATACCAGCCTCTTATTATCAGGAAGGATATACCTCTTCACAAAGTGGAAAAAATACCAGTTTCTAAGAACTGATCATGTAAATTAGCAACATATTCAAGTTTGCTCTGTCAAAAAATGCCTGAGATCATGTACAGGCTTTTGACAAGCTGTTTAAGTTTCGAAAGTAAGGAAACACACGGCCCTCGGCCACCAAATAATAACCCTTTTGAGTGTCTTGAGTAGTTCTAGAAAGCGATTAGCCTTGGTGCTGCTTTTCTAATTAACGACACAGCACAATGCTAGACGCATGGCTTCGGCTGGGGTAAGTGCTTTCAAAACCAGTTTTCTGAATGGTACATCACAACTGCATTTGTTCCCAGGTGCTCTACATGTTCGTTTAAAACCAAACACCTGAATATTTCTTTCACAGGGCCTTTTGCACAATGCTCAGTTTTATGAATCCAAAGTGAAAATACTACTTTAGTTAGTACCATCATATATACATATATCAACATAAAAAGATAGGGTCAACTGTATTGATTGAAATGCCAGTAGTCAATCTGAGTAAAATGTACCTAATGTACATACATTTTAAAGCGCTCTGGTGTAAGTTTTACAAACTCCAGTTTTATGAAAAAGGGGGATTTTTTAATACATTAAGGGAGCATGCATTATCTATATGTCAGACAAGGCAAAGAGCTTCCCATATCCTCTACGTTCAACATACACGGGCACAATAGCCAAGGCTCTTAGCCTATTTTGGAATTGGAAAAAATACATAATAAATGACTAGGATTCTACCCCAAATTTTGATATAATTTTGAATTCCTATTTAGGTCTTCACTAAGATTCATTAAAGCAAAGCATAATCCTCTCTAAATCTGGAATGATGCCTTTTTAAACCTCAATACTCATCAGGAAAAGTTTGCATGAGATGCCGCAGTTGCCTTGGGCGACAAAGCCTCAGCGCTCCACCAGCTAAGCCAATATTAATTTTAGATGGAAGCGGGGAAAACCAACAACAACAAAGGAGAAATCTGCTTCTGTCTCCACAGCCAGAGAAATAATATTTTTATTTCAAGGGCTCTGGGCTCATGGGAGCAGATACAAACTCTTTCACATTATTCACAATGACATTTTAAATAAAGTTTCAGCAGGAATAAAAATACCGAACTTTCTGGTTATTTCTGAGGCTATACAAGTATTTCTATGATCAAGTGCTCTTAAACCAAACCTGTTAGAAAAACATAAAGCACATAGAAAGCAACTAAAAAATGTATTACACGGTTACATGAATGAAGCAGGCAGCTGAAAATGGCTATGCAGGAGGCTTGGAAGATTAATCTAAGACGCTATTATGATGGTTAGAAGTGGTTTTGTGATTCTAAAATGGCAAATTCTAAAATTAACCAGTTTTTAGTTTTGATTTGACCAAATACATTTAAGAGCTTTTGAGAGAAGCCAAAGGTTAAAACTGTATTTAATAGTGTATAGATGTCACCTCTATAATTGTTTTTAGTATCAGAAATAATCTCAAATAAAAGAATTTCCCAATTAAACGAAGCATTACTCTTCATTCTCCTATGAAAACCTCACAACACAGAGAAAGTCCAATCCTTGCTTTGGGACACTCACCAGAAAACCAGTGCAAACACAGGCACAGACTCTGAGAACCCTGATGCAACCCCCATGTGGTTGCTCTCCCCTCTCGTCATTTTGCCGACCTGCTGGCTTCAGGTTTAGAATGATTTTCTCAAATGGTGTGTATTGCATCAGTATACACCACTGACGCTGCTATCATGCTGTTGTTTCCTTTTGAACTAAGCCTATTATCAAAGAAATAAAATATTTAAAATCTCTCTACTAATTCTCTTTGTTGTTAAATTCACTCATCCTTGTTAAAAATGATGGTACTAGATTATTTAGGTACATCAAACAAAATAGAGAAATTTGAATGAGCGGCCAATGAATCTTTTAAAAACAGGTTCACATGTTTTAATCATTTCTAATTATAAACAGAAGGAAAGCCGCTCCATTAAATGCTAAGAACAAAGGGGTCAAAATCTTTACTTAAAATCTACATTATATCTTACACTACTAATGTATGCCTTTTAATTCTTAAAAAGACGAAGAGCTCATTAAAACAACTGATTACTTACACAGGCTTTTCTCTGATTAATACTTGGCAAACTGATTCCATAGTTCGCATTGACAGCAGCTCTGTGGCGGAGGTTTTCAGGATCCTGCATGATTTTTACATCCAACCCTATCTTTCGCTGAAACAAAGAAACAATGAAACTTTCATGCTGGATAAACAAAAATGCTTAGTAATATCTTATATCCTCAAAGGAGTATAAAGTTCTTTGGAAAGAATTATTTTAATGTAGTTTTCACTGGGAAGGAAAGACATATTTGGGTCTTTTATTTCTGCTGTTAATTGTTCTTACTTATTCACAGAAAAGGAACCTTCTGCAGATTTCCCTCCATGTATCCTATTGCTCATACAAATACATCCTCAGACAGCATTCATTTTTTTCACAAAGAATGGTAGACGCCACCCAAGGTGGGACAAAGGACTAGAATACCTGGTCTTCATTTGTTTTTAGCTTTTTCCAGGTCAAGGATTTTGCCAATGAAATCTATACTACACACACACAGGTAGAGGGCTCCCTTGGTCTGTTAATGTGGCACTTTCCTCAAGGGACAGACAGTTACAGGTAAATCTCAGTTTGGATTTGGTACATTTACCACAACAAATTTATTTACTCCTTCACAGAGATATTGCTATTTATAGGGAAAAGGCATGCTTTCATTAGAAAAAAAAAAAAGCATATCATTTGAAGCACATGTTCCTCACTTCATATAAGTCAAATGAGTTACGGGAGAGATGCTTAAATAGTAACCAGCAGTGTAGGCAGCGCAGTGGTGGTGGAAAGGGGCACAAGACGGGTCCTGAGACTTGGGTTCCAGTCTTACTCTCCCCTGGACTGCCTGCATGACCTTGGGTAAGTCACTTCCCTCCTTTGGAAGCCAGTTTCTTTTTTTTCAAAATGTGACAGACTTGATGGTCTCTTGAAGAATTATTCACCCTCCTCAATTCCCCCCAACCACCCTCCACCCCCACACACACAACCCTCTCTTGCTTTGGCATTCTATGACTTGATGCTAAAAGGTAAGCTGACACTTAAAAAATATGTTATTACCAACAGTTTCTGAAGTCTTGTGACTTTTTTTATTGTGGTACAATTCATATACTATAAAAGCTCCTTTAAAAGTGTGTAATTCAGTGGTTTTTAGCATATTCACAAAGTTGTATAACCATTATCTATCACCCCTCTTTATTATTATTACTAGTGACCCAGTGCACGGATTCATGCACATTGAAAGGAAATTAATTAGAAGGTGGCCAGTGGGGTGGGACTAGACAAGATGGGCTGGACACGCCTTGGTGCCAACCTCCCACCCTCCCTGGCCAGCCGCACCTGGGGTAGCGCTGTGGCTCAAAGGGTGTCTGTGGAGTGAGCGGGGTCCCTACAGAAGGTGAGGGCCCTCAGCCTGGCCATGGGAGTCAGGCCAAAACCAGCTCTCTGACATCCTCCTAAGAGTCCTGGAGTGTGAGAGGGCACTCTGCAAAGTTGCTGTCACACAGGGTGTGGAACACAAATGCAAGTGTGCAGTAAACCAGAATCAGGGCCGACAGTGCCCCAGCAACAACATAACCCACAGCTGAAGGTGGAATCGCATGGCCCTGCAAGGAATTGGGCTCCCTCCTCTCTGGTTTCAGGGTGTGTCACCCGAGAACTGCCGCTCGGCAGCTCCTGCATTGAGCATCGTCTGCCCCCTGGTAGTCAATGCACATCATAGCTACAAGTCGGACAGACACTTAGCATATGAGCCTTTTATATATATACTAGAGGCCCGGTGTACGAAATTCGTGCACGGGGGGTGGGGGTTCCTCAGCCCAGCCTGTCCCCTCTCACAGTCCGGGAGCCCTCAGGGGATGTCCTACTGATGGCTTAAGGGAGCGGGCCTAAGCCGCAATCTGGCCGTGGAGGCTCAGAGCAGACGCCCTGTGTGTGTGTCCGCTGGGGGCCTGCCCCCAGCTGTGCCTCGGAGGCTCGGAGCAGGTGCCGTGTGTGTGTGTGTGTGTGTGTGTGTGTGTGTGTGTGTGTATGTCTGCTGGGGGCCTGCACCCAGACACGCTGTGGAGGCTTGGAGCAGGTGCCCCTCTTTGTTGATTCTCAGGTTCTGGGCTGCGCCTGCCTGTTGTTCTCTCAGGCAAGGGGCCGAGTCCAGCCCCTCCTCCTGAGCTGGTCGTGACCGTTATGGAGTCCCGACCTCATTTGCATATTACTTCTTTACACACACACACATACATATATATATATATATATATATAGAGAGAGAGAGAGAGAGAGAGAGAGAGATTAATTTTTATCCTTGCCTGAGAATATGCTTATTGATTTTAGAGAGCAAGGAAGGGGGAGAGAGCAAGAGAGAAACAAAAATGTGACAGAGAAACATCGATCAGTTGCCTCCTATATGCACTCCAACTGGGAATCGCGCCTGAAACCTGGGTCATGTGCCCTGACTGGGAATAAAACTTGCCACCTTTTGGTGTACAGGACGACCCTCCAAACAACTGTGCCAGCCAGCCATGGCAATCAAAACCCCTCTTTAATTCTGTAACATTTTCATCAACGAAAAAAGAAACCTCAAACCCATTATCAATCACTCCCCATCTCCTCTCCATCCCAGCCCCTCCCTGGCAACTACCCATCTATTTTCTGCCTCTTCGATGTGTCCCATTCTGCACATTTCATATGAATTGTAAATATGTGGTCTGTAACAGTTTAAAAGGAGGTATTGTAAGGGATTAAAACACCTGATTTCCTTTCAACTGAGTGTCTTTGTTCTAAGGGATCTGATGGAATTGCTAAAATTGTTGTAGGAACCAGATTAGTTCAATGGGCTATGCCTACGGTGGAAGTGAAGGGAAAGACTGCAAAAATATCTACAGAATGTATGCTGTCTAGTTACTTCTTAATACAGGTGCCAAACCTTCCTTTTATTTTTTTAATAGCAGTTTTTAAACCAAATAACTGTACTTAACTGCCCACTTTATTTAACCCATGCAGGGATGCAGGTTGCAAACAAGACCTATCTGTTCCCTTCTCCTTGAAGTACATGTGGTCATAAAAATAATCTTGTGCCTAACAGCTATCAGGGGGTTTCCTTCTGTGGCTAACCCATACTCAACAGCACTATTCCGGGTGTTTGCATGGAAGCAGAGTGTCTCTTTCATTGAAATTAATACCTGGACATAATTTGTTTCTCCTTAATTAAACTTTCAGAATAATTTTCATTCTACAAAGTTTTGGGACATTACCAATATGTGTTAGATTGTCTGGATGTGGTTTCTGTAATTAGGGTGTTTTTAAAATGTGTATTCTGGATATAAATTGATGGGAATGGCTTCAATGTCATATCTTAGGTTTGCTAGAATTTTTTAATCCTGGGATCATTGGCTAGTGGGCCATTGAATTTTCTTAGTTTTATTATGGTCCTTCAACTTTCTGTGGCTATGGGACTGGTGTAAGAAAGAAATGATCAAATACCAAATTATTGTTAAAACTGGCATTAAAATCAATTGTTTTCTGCCCAATTTTACATTTCTGTGGCCCTGGCACAGATAGTTCTGGTAAGAAATCAAAATATAAGCAGAAACTCAAGAGAAATGATAGGTTGCAATATCAGTTCTTTATTAGTTGGCTTCTAAAGCCATGGGAAATGTCTTTTAAATTATTAACATTTTAATATTCACTATTTTGGCACCAAAGCATGTGTATACCAAAATAATATGCAGCACACATGATTTAATTTTCCTTCAAAAACGTACAAATGAGCCTACATTTAAATAAAATTAACATATCAAATGGTTTCACTGAAGATCACTACCACATACATTCATAATCTGAATTTGTCTTACAATTTTACAAGTTACATCTACAGAGATGTATAGCAAAATACTTATCAGCATAAGCTACCTTATCAGACCCAGATTTTCCTAGAAAAACAATTATAGATTCAAACACAAAATGAATCAATCCATTAAGCAGGAAAGCATGTTATGAAGGTGATCATTTTTTACCAACAGTAAAATAAGTATCAGAAATAATTTCAGAAAATTTTCTTAAATTGGTCAAGAAAAGACACCAATTTACTTAATCTATCTTGAGTCACTAAATAATCCATACTTTATTCTCCCCTTTGATAGTAATTACAAGCAGATATATCAAATGTGACTCTCATTTAGACTTTGGTTTGTAAGAACAAAAGTTATTATCAGAGCCAATTACTGTTTTACCTACATGGCTGCACAGAAGCAGGGAGCTCAATTTTCATCTCATCAGTGATTTTGTGGTATTTATTTTATTACTATGCCTACAAAGCTATATAAGAAAGAAATAGCTTATGCTATTAAAACTAGGGCTTGAGCATAAGAGGCTAAGGTTTCTTTTAGGAGAAGTTCTGAATTAAAAACACTAGGCAGCGTGTAATGCCAGCTCCCCAGACATGGGCAGACCATAAAATGACACACATCTGAGCAGTAGATCCCACACAGAGTAATCAAAATTGAAATGCTTCACAAACAAAGTTGAGACAGGCTATTTTATAGTATTATCAGCATAACATTATTCTCAACAGTGTTTGCTACAAGTAATGCCTTCTAAAGTGTATATTGCTTAATATCATAGTCGTGCTGGTTAAAGACATCTGCTGTTTAATCTCGAAATCAGGAAAAAAAAAAAAAAGAGAAAAAGAATCCAGCTTCCTTTAACATTCTGATTCTTTCAGCCATTATTATATTTAATGGAAGTACAAAGGACACCAAGTCTGGTTCAAGCCATATGTTCTAGATTTATTTGTAAAACTGGGTAATAATACCTACCTTCACAGAGCTGTCTGTGAGATTTAAATCTTGCAAATTATAAAGTACTACTCAGGAGCCAACTTGCAAGGGGTTTCTACTCATCAAATAATAACTGCAATCGATCGAAACACTTCAAATATATAAAAATCCGTAAGTTCTTAATAAAATTTCCCCATCTCCCCCAGAAATTTAATAAAATTAATAAGTTAATCTTAACCTTGATAAATAAAAGAACCAAACATTTATCCTGCTTTTCCTGAAAATCTATATTTAAGATTCACCAAAGAGTTATAACGGAAAGTTCTTCATAGAAATTAATAACTGCAGAAGGAAAGATATAAT